CTATCTATCTTCTATCTATCTATCTATCTATCTATCTATCTATCTGTCTGTCTGTCTGTCTGTCTGTCTGTCTGTCTGTCTGTCTGTCTGACATGTAAATATAACAGAAAAACATTATTACATCAAATAACAAATTCTTCAAGATGGAAAAAAGAAAGTAAAAAATAAATAAAGAAGAGAATATCAAATATTAACTGGAGGGAAGGCCTACATGAACATCCATGTTTTTAATTGGTTTTTAAAGATTCCTAGTGAAGGGGCCACACGAATCTCTGGCGGAAGATAGTTCCAAAGGTAAATATAACAGAAAAACATTATTACATCAAATAACAAATTCTTCAAGATGGAAAAAAGAAAGTAAAAAATAAATAAAGAAGAGAATATCAAATATTAACTGGAGGGAAGGCCTACATGAACATCCATGTTTTTAATTGGTTTTTAAAGATTCCTAGTGAAGGGGCCACACGAATCTCTGGCGGAAGATAGTTCCAAAGGTGAGGAGTTACCGACGAAAAGGCCCGGTTTCTTGTTTTTTCCTTCCGGGCCTCCCTCAGCGTCAAGCTCCTCAGCCTCACCTCCTGACTCGCTCAGGTGATACGGGTAGACCTCGGTGGGAGTAGGCGTTCCGCCAAATATTGAGGCCCTAAACTGTTTAAGGCTTTATAGGTAAGCATTAAGATTTTGAGGAACCGAATGGACAGCCAGTGCAGTGTGGCCAGAATAAGAGAAATATGATATTTTCTCGCTCCACTAAGGAGTCTGGCAGCCTCATTCTGCACCACTTGGAGTTTCCGCATCAGCCTCAAAGGTAGCCCCATGTAGAGCACATTAAAGTAGTCTTATCTTGAGATTATGGGCACATGTACCAAGGTAGTCAGCACCCCCATATCAAGATAGGGTTGCAGCCGGGCTATCCACCAGAGATGGAAAAAGGCGGTACGGACCACCAACGCCACCTGCATTTCCATGGTGAGCGCCAGATGGATTCTTTGTGGCAAGGGTCGCCCCCCCCCAAATGACAGAAAAACATCCAAATCGCTGACAGTAGGGGCACCCACCCTCAGGACCTCCGTCTTGTCCAGGTTCAGCCTCAACCCATTTTCCTACATCCATTGCAGTACAGTACCCAGGCAGTGCTGGAGTGACAGAATGGCATCTCCTGCAGTTGGTGAAAAGGAGATGTAGAGCTAAGTGTCATCAGCCTACTGATGACACTATGCCCCAC